TATATATATATATATATATATATATATATTCAAAAAACAGGTTCTGAAAAATAACAGGTTTTAAGCATTTGATGTTAATAATATCGAGTCTTCAAACCGAGTAAAACATAAGTTCTATTTTAAGTTTACAATAGAGGTGGATGGCCTATGTGACCTTTGGGGGCCATGCCCCCACTGAGCTTTTAATGTACAGTAAATAGGCTATATCTTATTTAAAGTGTACGAAAATGAAAACTTAATTTGGCCCCTGCACTCCTCCAAGGCTCCACTATGTTTACTTCCAAAGTCTAGATTCCTCTACTTAATTACTTTTAATTCTTTGTCTAAAGATACCCACTTTCTAAATTTAAACGTGAAACAAACCTAAAATTGCAATCTAGAAATCACAATATAATATAATTGATTTTGTAGGACGCGTAAAATGTTAAAATATCTTAGAAAGGTTTTTTTATTTATTTATAAAACTTAAGTTATATGACTAAACCAAAAAAAAAACGTCATATTTAAAAATGTTACAATAGGTTTATGGGATGTTTTTAGACGTTTAAACAAGTTTTTTAAAAAACTTTTAAAATAAATTGTCATATTAACTATTTTGTAAAACATTATTTGAAAAAGTGTCTCATAAACACAAGTCTCGTATAAAAAAGTTGGGTTTATACTATAAACCCATCTTTTTTATACGAGACTTTGTCATATTAGTTATTTTATATGACACTTTTAAGAATTGTCCTATTAGCTATTTTATAGGACACTTTTAAGTAGTGTCCTATAAACCGAAGAAAAGTGGACGTTGTTTCGCAATAAAAATGTTCCACTATTTCATTCAAGTTTTTATAAAAAAAAACCAATGACACTTCTTGACGAGTTGATCACTTTGAAAGTGTTAAAGTGTCACGGTCTTAGAGATAAGCCATTGAATGCACGTCAACTTGAATGATATAAGAGGTAGATTTGAGAAAGTTGCCGACAAGGAGACTTGTCGTTTATGTCTTTCAAACAAATTAATTCTCGACAAGTTGGTCGCTTGTTAAAATGTTAAAGTGCGGTAAATTCAGAGATGAACTATCTAGAACACACGCCAACTTGAATGATATGAGAATCGGCTCAAGAGAGTGATTTTTTAACAAAGAGATTTGTTTATCCATATATTTTGAAGACACCATTTTGTCACTATCCCTGGATCCGATACCACATAGAGATATGGGATGAAAGCTATAATATAGTGCAATGGTGAATTCCGAAAGGAATACCTTCAAAATAGATGGTGGAACTAGTTTATGGCTTACTGTATGTTGTAACATTCCTACAACATCGTCTGCTGGAATTTGTGTTTACATTTCACCACAAGTCTTACACCCATGTTACCCCTTTATATTCTGTTATTTTATCATTGTTAACTCAGAATCAAATTGATGTCATCAATTTCATTTTATGAAATCATCTCTTTCATTAGAATCTTATTAAGTCTTTACTACAATCTCCGTGGACGATATTCAGTTTTTACCACTTTATTACTTGGAAAAGAAAACATTGGACCATATTATATACTTGCTTTGTGATTCTTTTTATAAATCTAAGGGTGTGAAAAATAACCTACCATTTGTTAATACTAATTCAAACGTAGCATCCAGCCCCAATGATTGAGGTTCAATAATTCTCCTTCCTTTTTGGAAACTTAAATATAAAACGTTTATTATGATACCATATTTGTTAGATATCTGGTATTTGAGGTCCTCTTTATGGTCTCATCCACTAAAGTTTACAAATTCTTTAAGTTCAAGTTAAGACGAGGGGTCGTTTAAGAAAAGCCACTGATGTGATATATTTTAAATATAATTAAGCATATCATATCATGTTCCACTAAGTGTTGTGTAGAGCTATACTAAAATTGACCAACTTCATGTACTTTGTACCGAAAGAGACATTTCTTTTTGATTATTTCCTTAGAATCTTTCTATATGCCATTAAATTACCTTTACTTTTATTCTAGTTTCCACCATTTTATGTTGTTATTATTTGTTGTGATGAGGTAGAATAATTTTGATAATAAACGGTTGATTGTTGGAAAACTTGTTTTTTAATGATTTTATGTCTGATGAAACTTCAGTTGCCATTCATTTTATTTCCAACAAATTAGGCTTTTTCATTTGATTTCGATAGATATTTTTTATAATTATATTATTTTTATTTAAAAAAATGAAGACCGTAGGTTTTATAATTGGACTCAATCCGTTTCCTTTTTGCTTTTATGGTTGGTTATTGCTATTTACGTGACTTTTTATATTTAAAATGATTAACTTTTCTTTTCCTATTAAATTATGAAATTGATTTTTGACGACTAAAAGGAGTATCTTTTATATAGTGTTTCTTAGGTTGTTTAAATTTTGACCATTAAAAGTATTCAAGGTTGTGTTAATGTTATAGAAAAGTTATATCTATGGGTCCCATGCCTTGTTAGACGACTTGTGCCTTC